TCCTGCTGATTGAGCCAAAAAAAACTGATAAGGAATCACGGCGAAGAACACACCCCAAAGAAGACAAAAACTCGAGAAGCACTAATTGTGAGAACCTTGAAGGAAACAAAGATATAACTCAATACTTAAATTCACTATACATAGGCATAAAGCAAGAATTCAAACATATAATGAAAAATCAAGTAGGAGATTGGATCCTTCAGAAGAGAAAAAGCGAAACCCTAATCAGGTGGAAACTGGAAAATCAAGAGCACCTGAATTCAGAATTCTGAGAAGAAAAAGCGGAGCGCAAACGAAGATAATCGAAGACAATATCTTACTGCTTAATTTCCCGCTATCACCAACATTATGCGCAGTGTGAAAACGAAACAGAGCCCTGGAATTGGAACCTCGCTCACGCAACCCAATTCGTCTCCCGTCTCGTCAATCATCGAAGAACAACAGTACAAGACTTAAAAACACCCAACCCTTTACGACTAAAACGCTGAAATTACACCTACAACCTCAATTCGGAGAAGAACATACCGATTATCCATAGCTCGAACAAGAATCTCATCGCGTTTCGAAAAATCTACGATCCTCCACTAAACAACTGAATAAACATGAACAAAACCCGAATACATGAAGAAAATTTTACCTTGAGGAATGCACTTGATCTCGCGCTAGAAACTTCGAAAATATTCCAGCATAATCGCTTCACTTGTCTGTTTCCATTGATTTTCCAGGCGGAAGCGAAAAGTAGATGAGCCAAGCCGATAATAGATATCTGTATTAGATAATCTAATGGGCCTTTGTTTATAGAATCTCCTTATGGGCCAATATATTGGGCTGCAGACACTTTTCTTTTTTCCTTTTACCCTTTTGTTATGTAAAATAGTGCTATACTTCAACTTCTCAAATTTTATAAAATAAAATTAAAATTTTGTTTTTATCACATAAAACCTCAATTTCATTTTTAATTAAATCCGAATTTTATAAACTTTTTATGATTTTTAATGCGACGTTTCAATTACCATGACGTATTCATTATGTCCAAAATATTGATTTAAAATAATAAAAATTATAAAATTCAGATTTATTTTTTACTGAATTTAAGATTTTATTTGATTAAAAACAAAATTCAAGTTTTATTTTATAAAAATGGAGAAGTTTAGATATTTTTTGGGATTTTGTGGGGACAAAACCACCAATTGATCGCGCGTTGATTATTACAACCCCAAAAAATACAAGCGCACCGTTTTCTGTTGTAGTTACACTGCATCATATTTCGCAACAAATTCATAAAATGTAAAATGGAAGAATACCACCAAAAAAAAAGTCGAACTTGCTAAATGTTTCACAAAAAAATTATGAATTTGCAAAGCTCCCATTCATCTAAATTTGGGTAGATTCTAGTAAAAAAATATACAAAATTGTTTTTACCCCATATTTAAATTCAAAAGTAGAAAGAGACATTTACCTAAATTTTTTTGCTAAATTTAATTAGATCAAAGGTATGGTGAACTCTATCAAAGCTTTGGGATAATAAAAAAAGACGAGACATGATTTTAGACCACTTTTCAATATATATATATATATATAATATTTAGATACATTAATATTGATTGATTTTTATAATTTTTTAATCTGCTAACGATATCATCATAAATCATTTTCATTATTTAGTTTCAATGAGTTTTTAAATAAAATAAAAAATTCAAAAATATTTAATAGTTTTAAAAATATACTAATCTACACTAACGGCTAATTATCATTTGTCTAGCCCTTTTATACATGATGGAATTGCTATCCGATGATCATACCCTATCTAGAGAGCCAAATGGGTGAACGCAATCTATTTTTTGGTCCAACCCATTTGAGTCCGAAAAATTAACGGGTTGGACTGAGTCGACCCAATAATAATAATAATAATAGGTTGGCATGAATCGATTAATTAAACCCGTTTAAATCCATTTAACCCATTTATATACCACTTATATGTTGGGGTTTCCTGGGATCTCATAAACGAATCCTATTCCTAAGAGATCAGTTCTAGGGTTTACGCAGCGGATGTAAAACAAAAATTTTGATAAAACCCTAAAACCTAACATGCATGATCTTGTAGAAACGATAGAACGCTTACCTCAATCGATCCGGGGCCTGTATCAATTGATATGTTCGTCCGATCACTGTAGGCAGGAAGAATACCTTGCCCTCGGACTTTCTTCATAGATCCTCTCTTTCTTAGCGTTGAATCATCAGAAAATGACGTCACTCAACTGAAGGCCATGGCCATTGTCAGCCGTAGAGTTGATGATAAAGGCACTGTCTTCGACATCTGCGTTCAAACAGTTCATCCTGTGCCTGGTAAAACAAGCATAAACCGTACCGTAATAAAGCGGTAAACTTGGGAGTAGAATAATTTTTACCGAGGGTAACCGTTAAAAAAATCACAAACCATTCAAAGTGATGATCGCAACATATAGAGCCCTGGATCATCGAAATCCCAGCCATTTTCCTGCCATCATCAAAAAGGTTTTTTTTTTACGTCTAACCACATTCCCAGTTACATGACATGTGTTCAAAGAGTCCATACCATGTCGCACTGAACATGTCATAGTGTCTGTCAAAGGCTTTGTTGAAGCAATAATGGCAAACCATGAGCTCCTTTATTGAAGTTACCATACATGTCGATTTGCAGCACTTCACCTGTTATTATCATTCAACATCAACATCGCCTTAACCCCAAGCTAATTCGGAGTCTTTGTTTCATTTTGATTTTGAGTTAAACCTTCCGAGATTTGCAAGGACTTGACAACTCGTTTCCAAGCGTTATTATCATTAACAAAAAAAAAAAATTTTACTATCCAATGAGAAAACCAACGAGTGATTGAAACAGTATCATGTCATACCAGCCTCTTGAGTTTGTGAGAGTAATATTTCTGATGAGAAGGGAAGCCACGTATATGATCGTTCAGGTGGCCAGCTCTACACATTTTTTAATAACAATCAAAGATCAATCAGTAAAGGCTCAAGCTTTTCTGGCAAATTTTCCGACAAAAATGTTAACCCTGCAAGGATTTTAGAGAGCTTACGTGTCACACAAGACAGCATCGCAATCAAGGCAAGTGGCCAAACTTATGGAGCTGCGGCATGTGTAACAACTGCTCGTCGCTAAGGTTTTGCCTATCTGATTGCACCTGATTTACACATCATATCAGACCCAATCTTGTTTATCGCTCAAAGACTTGACATCTCGAAAAGTAGTAGCACGTGCGAAAATGTTAAGCTATAACTCCACACACCTTTTGTAAATATCACGAAGAGCCTTTGGTATAGCGGTTTTCACATTACGCCCATCAGTACTAACCTGGATAAAGAGAAAACTTACTTTACCGACACAATATCATTCATGGTGTCGCTATTCTATTCCTCGAGTCTAGATGATGTCGTACTTGGTTAGATGTTGCAACCAAGCAGTCCTCAGCCAGGTGACCAGGCCGATCACATTTCCAGCTGCCACGGTGGGTGCATAAATAAATGGGTGAGAACATTGATTAAACATAATTCCCGATGCAGATAAACACAAACAGTAGAGTGCAATTTTTAACTGGATAAGTACCATTTATAAGTACAAAGCACTGAATTCTTTTTGGGCCAGTGATTATGTTCGTGGTCCCAAGTGTCTATATCAAGCTCTGGAACCGGCAAGACATGTTTAGGTTCACCAGGATTCAGGATTTGGTTGTTTGGAGGCTGCTAAAGAGATGAAAAAGAAGGAGACAATGAATAAAAGGGAAACATAATGCGGTATTAATGATAGCTTCACATTTTAAAATTAAACCAGAGAACACCTTCGCAGTTCTAAGACTTTCCAGGAGCTCAGCCTTACATTCCAGACTGCAGATATCGTCGTCAGTCTGCCATGTCAGAAAAGTTCATGATATATCGAAGAAGATCAGACATTGTTAGACACACATGGAATGTCAAGAATGTAGATCACCTCATCGCATATATACTCTCCATATCTTCCGCAGATCACACATACGGGCTCTCCCACATCAGGAAACCGTTGTTCGCCCCTGCTTCGGACAATATCGATTTCATCCGATCCAACTGAGAAATTGGGCGTCAAAGCAATCTAATTAGATCAACAGATAAGTATAAACAAAAGTACGGCAAAAAAAAGACCTCGTCCCACGCAGAAAACAAGGCTATACCAAAAGCTGAACTATGGGACAACATTGAACTTGCAAAAGAAGAAGCAATGACAAAGATGCATTCACGAACCTGGATCAGTCTGAACATCGCGCTCTTTACAATCAGAAGAATTGCTTCTATCACCTGAGTGTTAAGACAAAGATAAACATGGACTCTACGAGGAAGCCAACAGCCAAAACACGAACTTGGAAATCAGATTTCAGCAATGAACTTCGAACCCGGACTTACTGTCATAACCAACTAAGTTCAGAGCGGAACTAGAAGAATTTCCCAGCTGCGAGCAGAAACCAGAAGACGTAAAAGACCCAATGAAATTTTCGAGAGTCAAGCCATGTAAAAGATAAAGAATTACCAAAACATCAAGAGACAGTTTCTCGAAACCTTGTGACGAGTGAACCTCCTCCCTGTCCATGGAAAAGGCATGAGAGAGCGTAATCGAATCGGCATACGTTAGTTCTCTAGATTCCAGAATACCTTCTCATCGCAACATAATCCTCGTGCGACATCGGCCCATCGTGCTCTTCGACGATTCCATCCGGGCTTGGCGGTGCCGGTGTCTTGCTCACACGGCGTCGCTTGGGACTCCGGATTTTCTCCTCGGAGGACGGTTGCGGCTCGATGAGAGGGATTTTCCCGGTCGCAATGTTATACGCTAGGGATTATTTTGAGGGAAATAATTCAACTTTGAAATCCGAAACTTGCGAAAATTTTCTCAGGAAACAAACAACAGCTTACCTCGGAGGTTCTGAAGAACAGAGGAGATGCTAACATCCTTTTTGTAAGAAACAGAACAGTTCTTGTAGAAATTGCTCCTGGTCGCCATGATCTCCGATGGTGGTGCGACAGCGATACGTCTCGCAAGTAAAGACGAGTTTACACCGAGTCATCGGATTGCTAAAACGTACGGAGCGAAGTCTCTGATTCAGAAAGAAGCTCCTACATTCAAATAATTTTTTTATTCATCCCCTATGACCGTCGTCCAGTGATTAACTGATTATCACAAGCATAAGATGGTTTTAAATCCATTTAATTACATAAATGTTAAGAGGTTAATAGAATTTGGATATATAATCACAATAAACAATGATAGAATTTCACATATATTTATAGATTTCAGTAGGTTAATAGAATTGATTTCATGGGGGATTATTTACACTGGACTCCATCCTTCGAATCTATAATATGTGGGGTTCCTTCGTCTCCAAAAACAATTCCAGGGAACGATACGCATGATAAAACAGAGAGAGGGGTGGCATTTTTTTAGAGGAAAAGCCCCCAAATTTAACCTCAAATGAATTTTGATTACAAGTCAAGGCCAAAGCCAAACATATCTGTAGACGATACTTAGGGGTGACTGGTTGCAACGCCACCAACCGCAAACGGAGCAGTTGCGATTTCTGGTGGTTGGTGGCGGTTGCGAAACTGATTGGTCATACCGCAGGCAAACACTACTGCAACCAAACTTCAAAAATCAAAACGCTGGCTTTTGGATGCGTTTCGGTAGCGTTTCCATGCGTTTAAATCAAATGACCAAAATACCCTTGTAACAATTAAAAAAAAACTAAAACTCTCTTCATGCTCTCTCGTTTGAAACCGGGAAAATCACTCCAATGTACCAAATGTGTCACACCCATTTCAGCGATACACCCCAAAAAAAATCAATTTTTTTTTTCAATTCTATACCACTTTTGGACTTAAAAAGTCCGAAATAACATTTCTTTCATATTTTTTACGACTTTATTACGACTGTTATATAATTAATATACGACTAAAAAACAGTGTTTACGACCGTATAACAACTAAAGATCCTATAAACAATTAGATGTATTTTTTGCCACCTCATTTAGAATCAATTGCAACTGTATTTAGAATCAATTGCAACTTTATTTAGAATCAATTACGACTTTGCAATTATAATTACACGGTTTCATTAAGGGTAATATGGTCTTTTCGACAAAAATTTAATGGGTTATAATTTTTTGGGTGTATCCGAGAAATGAGTGCGACAAGTTTGGTATATTTGAGTGATTTACCCTTTGAAACTCATCATCTTCATCTCATCAAACCATCTCTTCTGTGTTCTTCGATTAGGGTTTTTCTTCGTCGGAGCTCATCGGAACTCACCGGAATTCATCGTCTCTGTCGTCTTTCGGTCTCTATTTTATTTTATTGCCTTTCCTCTTTTCTGGTTTCTTCGGATTTTGTGTGAATAAAAACGATGCTCATCATCTTCGATTCAAGAACAAGGAACTGATAAGATTCTACCGATATCCAAAACAAACAAGTAATGGGTTCTATTTTTTTTCTTCATAAGTGATCAGATTTAGATCAGATTTTATCGTATTTTCTCGATCCGAAATCAAACATGAGGCCTAAAACCCAATAAACCTTCGATCTGAAATTTATCTTTGTGTGGCTCCTTGTTACCTTCTTCCTCAAGATGATTGATATTCAAGTTTGTATTGTGGAATGAAGTTTATTGGATAATGGCAATCTCTATCATGTCCTGAATGTGTTCAGTGAAATGCCTGAACGAGATGTCGTTACCTATAAAATGATGATAAAGAGCATGTCCTTGTTTGATTGTCTTGTAGATCTGTTTATTTACCAAAGTGTTTCAATTGAATTGATTAACCAGGTGTAAAACATATTAATTGATTTCTTTTTGCATGATATTTCATGTTTTTTTTTTATAAAAATGATGTTTCATGTTGATCGATATTTATGTAAAATATTATATATATCTTGTTGATGATTGTTGGTATTTTTTGATTCAATACCTTCAAAGTAAATGAAGAAAAAATGAAGAAGTATCAGAAATTGAAGCAGAAAGTGATGTGGAAGAAAAATAAGTTATCGAAACAGTTTTTAAAACAATTTTATTAAGTTGCAACTATGATTTGAAATTTGTAACGGTTACATCTTTTGTCTTTAAATAGTCGTGTTAATGTATATAGAAAATTATTGCAGACAAGTTTTTAGCAATCATGTGTATATTATGTGAGTAACATATGGTTTTGAAATAAGAAAAATGAAGAGTATTTATTGTTGTGAGAGTTTCGATTTAAGAAAAATAACAATGATTTTATTTAGTATTATGATTTGAATTTAATTTTTGATATTATGTTTTAGTACAAATATGGTAGTACCACATATAATTTGTATTTTAAAATATTTTAGGATAAAGTTATTTTTAAATTTAATATAATTCAAATGGATGGAATTTTTATTTTAAAATATTTTTGTATAATTATTCATAAATTATATAAAATATTTTTTTATCAAATGATAATATAAAATTAATTACGATTAATTTAAAAAATTATTTTAAAATAATGTCTTTGTTAGTAATTTATATTAAAACGCAACTGCAATCGTTTATAACCATTCACTTTTACTCGCAGTTAACCGCAATCACCACCAACAGTCACTTACCTACCATTCAGTACCAACCGCCCACAATCGCTACCAGACATTTTGAAAATGTTATCACCCATAATCGTAATCGCTGCGGTACAACCAGTCATGCCCTTAGACATTTGGGTTCAGTTCCAAGAACCAAACATACCAAACCGATAATACAATATTTTTTTTCAATCGGATTCGTTCAAAATTCCCGAACGATCTTAATTTTAGAAACATCGAATTTTTTGGAATCTAACCGAACTAAAATTTAAAAAAAACTAAAAAAAATTGGATTTTCAGAGATCTAATTTTTTTTTAATAAAAAACGAAACCGAACCGAAACCGATCAGAAAATAATATAATAACCGATACATACATATTTTTGTAAAACCGAAAACCAGAAACCGGAAACCGAATTCGAAACCCGAAACCCTCCGAAACCCGAAACCCGAAACCCGAAACCTGAAACTCGAAACCCGAAACCCGAAACCCGAAACCCGAAACCCGAAACCCGAAACCCGAAACCCGAAACCCGAAACCCCGATCAAACTTAGCTTATCCTAAGATTTGCAATACCTCCTAGTTTCATCGGACAGTGGGTAAAGATAAAGACGGAGAACATAACTAAAAGACATCTTCCAATGACCAACACCGTTGTTCTTTCCTCTGTGTCTACTATACGACAAGTTGAAACGGCCTAATGTGAACAGACAACCATTCAATCAAACTTTTTTTTGCAAAGATTAGAAGAAATTTCAAGTTTCCAGCAAACAATACTTTAACAGGAAAAATCAGTATGAAAGCCGAAGTTTTTATGATCCCTAGGTTAAAATCCCCCTCATCCGATCACCAATAAATCCACATATCCCAAAATTACCATATCCATCCGACTGTTTCCCGGTTTTAAATCACAATCGATAAACCCTAAATTCCGGAGACTCCGCCTGAAATCCCCGATCGAAATTCAGAGCCGGAGCCATTCAAATCGACATAGATTTCGCAAAGAATCAAAACGATGAGATCGCAAACCGAATCAATCACCGTCGTCGCCCTTCTTGGGTTTGCGATAGTTCTCCTCGATGTGCTTGGCGATGACGAAACCAGTGTTGGCGAGCTTCCTGATGTTGGGGACGTTGTAGTTCTGTGCCACGTATACACCGAAAGCAGTGCCCACCATGAAAGAGAAGCAGCTCTTGAATATTCCCATCCTCCGGGAGCTCCCCCCTCTCTCCTCTCCTCGTCGGGAAATCTTTCTCCACAAGTATCGAAGCTTTCAGGTCAATGTAGACGGGGTTTGGTTGCAAACAAAGAACGAGCCGACTCTCCTTGTACGGCGTCGTTTTATTCTCGGATTGGGCTACGACACGACAGTTTATTGGGCCGATTGATATAATTTATTGGTGAGAGTCTGATCCCTGATTTGTATTCGAGGTAGGTTATTCATTGATTTTTTTAAAATTAATTTTTAAAGAAATTTTCGATTTTTTATTATTTAATTTGGTTTGACTTATGTTTTTTTTCAGTAAAAACAATTTCCTTAAGATTCAAAAAAAAAATCCATTTTAAAGAAAGTATACTTATTTAATTATTAAACAAATAACCGCCGAATTAGATATAAAATTGAATATAACTTTTTTTAAAAAATGAATATTTTTATTATAATTGAATGGAATCGAATTTAATATAAAATTCGAATGGTTATAATTTTTATAAAATCGAAATAACTGAATTCGAATGTAACCAAAGGAAATCCAGTTAAGTAACCCCTAACCATTACTATAAATTCGGTTATTAAATTGAATTGAACACCTCTGTGGATCATATTCAAAATATTTTAAAACCCTCTCGTTATTCTTCTTTAACAAGGTTGGGCTGGCTGCTCATTAGTATATGGGCCTTTCGTGGGCCGTGTTTTTTTTTTTGTAGCTTTACAAAAGTCATCGGTGCATATTTTTATATTTTCTTATATAATATAATTATCCTCATAATTATTTGTAGGTTGCTTATCTGCTTTTTCTTCATTGATTGCGTGTTCCTTTGTAACTTGGGCATCTTCAAGCTCTCGTCGTCTTCAACAGGTTTGATCCTCTATTTTCAATTCCTATTTTCCCTTGGTGGATTGGTTTGGTTTCTCAGTTGATTGCATCCATCTAAGTTCGTCTCGTTAGCTTTATAGAAAAGTTTCTAATTCTATGATCAGAATTCCGCTGTCTGAGATAAAAGGGGTTTCTGGGTTTCGTGTCTGTTTCTGAGAAATTACGGTTTTCCTTGGTGAATTATGTGAGTTTGGGGCTACGAGAAGCAAGATCTAGCGATCGAGCGGTCAATCTATTTTTTCGTGTACGGATTTGATGTTTATGCGTGGGTACTATTTTACTCAGTTAGAAATTGTAGTTTTGTATATGTGATTAGTCTGTTTTCCGCTAATCATCCTCCTGTATCTACAGTTGTGGTCTAAATGGCAAAGAGCACGTTCAAACAAGAGCACGACCTTGGTAATTGACCCGATATCTCCATTTTGTGATAGTTTCCCCGCGGAAGATTATTGTAGTTTAGTCTGGTCTAATGTTCTTGTGTTATGGATCTTCAGAGAAGAGAAGGGCAGAGTCTGCTCGGATTAGAGAGAAATACCCAGATAGGATTCCGGTCAGTGCTTGTCATTTTGCTTATATTGACCCTTGTCAGTTTTTGTTTTGGAAGTCCTTGGCTCATTTACTATATGATTAGCACATCAGTCTTTCTCCATGATTGGATCATTCGTTTCTGTTTTTTCAGTGTTTGTACTGCTTGTGTTGTGTTGTGTTTTGTGGCTGTTTCCTTGTTTCGCAGGCCCGAGATTGAATTTAGGTCTATTTGCCTATGGTTCTATAAGCTGCTGCACCTGACATTAGTGATAAATCTGGTGAATGGTTAGTTCTGTTTTGAGGATGCATTCCCATTCAGCCATTGCATGTCCTTGGAATCATTTCAACTGCTAGTAGTAATTTAGGTGGATATATGTGATAGTTGTGGCCGAATGTAAACCTTTTACAGATCAAGCTGCAAATGAGTAAGCAAAGGAGTTAAGCTTGATGTTGCATCGTAGCGAGTCTCATAAAGCATTAGGACTGTAGGCTTTGATTTTTATCGAGTCTGGCCACTTTTTACTGTGAAAGGTCTTAAGAGTCACAGGGAAATTCCATGGCTGGATAGGATAACAAATGTTAGATAAATGAGGAATGAGCGAATATGTCTCACAATTGCATTTTGTCTTGGGGTGGTGATACAGGTGATTGTGGAGAAGGCTGAGAAGAGCGATATTCCGAACATCGACAAGAAAAAGTAACCGATATACGAGTTTCTTTTTCGTACTTGGTCGGTTTCTGATCGTGTTAAGCTTTTATCTGAATTCGACAACCGCAGGTATCTTGTCCCGGCTGATCTGACAGTGGGTCAGTTTGTGTACGTGATCCGCAAAAGAATCAAACTGAGTGCAGAAAAGGCTATCTTTATATTTGTCGACAATGTTCTCCCACCTACAGGTAAATGGATACAACTCCTTTATTCAACCAATTCCTGCCATTACATGAATCCATGCGGAAGAACGAATAGTGAAAATACCAGTAACTAAAACTGGAGTTGAAAATTTCAATAACAATTTGTTAGAAAGTGTTAGGGATTATTTGTATGGTAAATCTTTTTTGACCGCTCTGGCTTTGCAGGTGCGCTGATGTCTGCGGTGTACGAAGAGAAAAAGGACGAAGATGGGTTCCTCTACGTTACTTACAGCGGTGAAAACACGTTTGGGGTCGCCCTTTAGAATCACCCCACCCTCTATTCTCCATCCCCCTTTGTTATAAAAAAAAAAAAATCGAATCTATGTTCATATTTAGCACCACCGCCTACTTGTACCGTGTACAGAAGGTGCGTAATGTATATAATAAGCTTGGAAAATATGACAAAACGTTGATCACTCCCTGCGTTTCTGTATGGTCGTTATTAGTTTTGGTTCCAAGGGATAACGTCAAATCGCATCGTTCTCTTTAGCCCACGGATGGTAGTGACTTCTGTATATGGGGAATATTCCTCTGTGTATGGGGAATATTCCTCCGTAAGGAGAGGAATCATGCAAATGTAAAAGACAGATTCCAAAGAAATGGCATATTTAACATAAACCTAGATCCTTCCATTCTCTCCACACTGAAAAATCCTTTTTTTCCATCTTTTTCTCTCTCGCTTTTCCGAGAAAAAAAACCCGTAAGTAAAGCACGGCCTCTTGTCCGCTCTTGTCCCCTCCGTCCTCGTATTCTTGTCTCCCGTCTTCTTCCTTCGCTCTTGAATCTTCTCCGTAGCTCAAAAATGGCAGACAATGGTAACTCCAAAGGCTCGTTCAGATTTATTATTCTTTTTTTCCCCCCTTTTTCTGAGGTTTCTTCTCTGACGAATTCCTTTGTTTCAAGGATCGCTTGAGCATTTATTGGCTGTCGCCATTGATGCCGCCAAAAAGGCTGGAGAGGTTTCTCTCTCCTTCTCCCTGCTTGGTTGACTGTAGATCAGATATGATCGCCCAGTATCCATTTTGGCTAATCATGTAATGTTTTATGTTTTGCTCGCTTGATTCGTTCTGTAGATTATCCGGACTGGGTTTTACCAAACCAAGCATGTAGAACACAAAGGGCAGGTATTGCTCTTTCCTCTTCGATTTCTCTTCTCTTCTCTGTTTTTGCTTGAACTCCAATTATTGATCTTGAGAAAAACAAAAACTGGTTCTATCTCGCCGCCTTCCCATTTTCATTGAATCTGCTAACCGAGGCTACCAAAAACGTCGTTGAATGTCAGATTTCGTTATATCAGAGAATTAGAAGAATTCACTGCTCCTGCATTGATGTGTAGACGAATTTATGTTAAGACTTTCACTGAATGTAGCTCTAAAGAATTAAGAGTGTTATCTTTGGATGGACCTGCATTGCTGTTTCAGGTGGATCTGGTTACAGAGACTGATAAAGCCTGTGAAGACCTCGTATTTAATCATCTCAAGCAACATTTCCCTGATCACAAGGTGAATCCTTATTTCGTGTGTGTCTTACATTAGCTGGACGCAATCTCCTTGTGTTTTTCCATAAGATTTACGGCTTCATGATAGTTCATAGGGGAAGAAACTACTGCTGCATATGGCGTGACTGAGCTGACGGATGAACCGACTTGGATCGTTGATCCTCTCGATGGAACGACAAACTTCGTGCACGGGTATGTTAATTTTGCTATTTTATTTGATGGGCTATCTCAAGTTTTGAACTTTTCCGTTTCTCCAATTGTTTCTTACGTAAGAGTAACCAATCTGCAGATTCCCCTTCGTGTGCGTATCCATTGGCCTTACTGTCAGAAAGGTTCCCATCGTCGGTGTTGTTTACAATCCTATAATGGACGAGGTGAGATTATTTATCTTCCTTGTGGAACATTTGTGATGTAAGCACGAACCCTAACTCTATCACAAACACAAGCTTAAGAGTGGAGATTTAGTTCTTATATATTAGAACGGATCCTTATACATGGCTGATGTAGAACACATGAACTTGTCTGAAAAGAAAGAACACTGCAGTGTCAGCTGTCTGCTCTTCTATCCTCATTTGTAGAGATTTCAGCTCTCTCTTCTTTAAATTATCAATCGTTTTCTGACCAAAATTCCTGGAACTGAAACCTGTTGTTTAAATCATAGTCTTTTGTCACGATATACAGCTTTTCACCGGCGTCCAAGGAAAAGGAGCCTTCTTGAATGGCAAGCCGATAAAAGGTCAGCATTTTTTACTCCAAAAGATCCTCCTTGTGGATGTCAAAGCTTTGACCATTATTTCTCTGTGGTTATGGTCTCAAATGGATTTTAGCAACTGCTCGTGAGACTTGAGTTCTCGTCTTTTGTGCAAGTTTCTCTTTTCAGCTACAAAATCTTAAGCTCTGAAATCTTTCACAGTGGGGTCTCAGAGTGAACTTGTGAAGTCTCTGCTGGCAACAGAGGTATATACATTCTTTTTTGTCCGGAGAAAGTTTAGCAGCACATATTGTTGATTACTAGAGTTTAGCCACGAGATGAATCATGGAACTGCTCACTGTTCTGTGGCCTCTTGAACAGGCCGGTACTAAACGTGATAAGGCTACACTGGACGAATCTACGAACAGGATCAACATCTTGCTAGCCAAGGTTAGAAGTTGAAAAGAATTTTGGAAACTTGATGCTGGCTGTAGGGTTTTCGGTCTTTAGATTGACCCGTATTTCTGATGTTTTTAACAGGTTAGGTCCCTTCGGATGAGTGGGTCATGTGCCCTGAATCTCTGCGGGATTGCGTGTGGGCGGCTTGATGTCTTTTACGAACTTGGGTTCGGCGGTCCATGGTATATTATTTTCCTGGTTTTCATCACTTGTCCCAGGCCTTTTTTTATAAGATGAAAATGAATATGAATATGAAAGACATTGGCTGATTATTGCTGTGTCCTCCCCAAGGGATATTGCGGCTGGCATTGTGATAGTAACAGAAGCTGGTGGGGTCGTTTATGATCCGTAAGCATTCACTTCATTCACACTCAACTCAAAACGCAGTTTTGCCAAACGCTTCGCTCGAGGGCTTTTTAAGAGTCGCGTTTTGATCGGGTCCCTTATTTTTTAATTAAAAAAAACGTGCAGGTCGGGTAAAGAGCTGGACATCACGGCTCAGAGAATCGCGGCTTCAAACGCGACTCTGAAGGATTTGTTCACGGAGGCGCTTCAGATCTCTCTCTGATTTGTTTGTATTGGTCGGATTAAGACAAAGAGGACTTCTCCTTATTATAAAAAACATTGCTCTTTCTAATAATATCGTTCGTCACAATTTATTTCATGATTAGTTCATTCATATATGGGCCTCCATTTCCATAGTATAAGATGATGGGCTCTAACGGCCCATTTTCCATCACAGGCTTTTGAATTTTTGAAATAAGAGTTATCATCAAATGGCCCGTTTAATGGTTGTTGGACCCCACTCGATACAAGTTGTATATTTTATTATGGACTAAACTCTTAACAATTTTTGAAAGATCCCAAGAACAAAATGAAATCGAGGGTTCAAGATTTTATTTTGCAATTATTGTTAAAATATGTATTAAAAAGGGGGGGCCATGAAATCATGGCTCGGGGGATGGCCTTCCCATGTCTCTACGCGCATGCCATTAAAGCTGAAAAAAAAAAGGAGGATTCCTCCTACTTTGTTATTATTGATAATAGGAAGAAAAAACAAAACTCTTTAACTGGTTTTTGCCCGCTTTTTCATGCACCGTCATATCTCTTGCACGCCATTTTACAAGGAAAATTATAAGACGAACATTCCGCATAAATTATTTATATAAAAAAAAAAATCGTTTGCAATAATATCCGGATTTTGTAATGGAAGGATTGTTCAGATAATATTTAGTCCTGGATTATACAAATTTATAAAAAAGATTTATGTATTTTTTGTTACGGAATATGAGTGACGAATCACATGAGAGGGGGGCACACGTGCAAAGTGCAACATCGTATAACAACAGTCAAAGGTATGATTACGCTGGGAAGTTTCGCAATTTTTATATTTTCAGTCCCAGCTAAAATTATTCATATGGGAATTCATAATATTTATAGATAAAAGGCTACGAACTAACATTTATCATAAATATATATATATATATATATATATATATAAATTGAACAGTAATATTTTAATGGCTGTCATCATCAAGTACAAAGATGTCAGTGTTGGAATGACCAAACTGTATGGAACTTTTCAAAACGCAACTACTGGATGCCAAAAATCAATTAATAAAATGATAAAAATCAATCGTAATTGGTTGGTACTCGGAACCTTTCTTTAATAAAAAAAAAATTAAACACTCAAAACTTTTAAAATACCGTTTTTATTTATTTATTTTCATTAAACAAAATGTGCATGGAATTGAAGCTTCTACGCACCCGGATTTATAAATAAACTACGATACCATATATTAGTTTTGATATATGGTTTGATATTTAAAATTATTTGTCGTGATAATACGGAGATCTCTCTCTCTCTATATATATATATATTGTTTTGATAAATGGTTCATAAAAAACACTTTGTATAAAAAATTTAAATGTGTTTTAGAAAAAAATTTAAATGTGATTCTTACAAGTTTTTATATTAATCTATTATAAATACGGGTTGTTGGAATTTGCTGAGAGAATAAATACGGTAGGTAGACATGTCTAAATAAATTGGTATAGAGATTGACATATTTGGAATAAATATAATATTATAAATAAAAATGAATTCCTTTTTATTTAATAGGCAATTAAACAAGTGGACATATTATCTTTTTGAAAGGATAGAGTCTGTCATGTGAAACGGAGTGCGATGATTTAAGGCTATACCCAATTTATGCTTACGATACCAAAGGAAAAAAATTAAAAAAATGAATTAAAATGTAATAATTCAGTTGAAGTGTGATTTGGTGATCTAATTAAGTTGACCTTCAACTTGACATGTTCCTATTTTTAACTTTTGACTTGTGTTTCTAGTTTCTATCATTCTCTTTTTTTTTTACTATTTATTTTTTTTTTAAAGTGACTTTAGTTTCCGAATCTAAACAAATACATGAATATTTATTATTTATGATCTTTGCCGAAGTGAAAATTATGCCCCTGCTAAATTAATCTGTCGTGATACGGACACGTGTGGGTCAGCCCAGACAATATCCATCGTCGGATGTCAAATAGATTCTGATCCGACGGTTGGAAAGGATCCGATCAGCGTTCAGTCTCTTTGCCGAAAAAGCCCGTTGTCCACACGTGTCCATCATGCTTTCCTCACTGGTCCCCAGGGGTATTTTGGTACATTCACATGCAAACCGACGAGGCTGTTCCTCCTCAGCCGTCGATTTTTAAGAGACGTAGCTCTGGATCTGTCCACGTGTCCACACGAGTGTAGACACACACAGTTGCCAGATATACCAAAACCACCAGAAGATGCTAGCTTTAACTTCTTTCTCATCATCCTCCTTGTTCATTTCATCGTACGCCATGAGAAGAATTCTCTGAGAAAAATTGGGAAGAGCGCTGGGTAAATTGCTCTCTGTTTCGGTCTGATCTTCTTGAAGATGGTTTCGGTGGAAGATCCGCATTCTCATTCGCATTCGCACTCGAATTCGAATTCCAACTCCACTCGGTTCCCGTTAACCAGGGAGTTCTGCGGTTCTTCGTCGCCGTCGGCGGCTAGGATCCACCGTCATGTGGGCCGATCGATGAGGACTATACGGTCTAACTTCAACCGGAGCGATGAGCACATATGCTCCTTTGCCGACAAATCTGGGTATATGTCGGAGATCCTGACGGAGTCCGTCATCGACATGAGACTCGGCGAGCTTGCTTCTAAGAACAGTAATTCCGTGAAATCGAACGCGTCTTTCGGCGAGGAGGAAGTGTTGCTGGACATTTCTCAGGTGTTCAGTGATTTCTCCGCCTGTAGTAGCGACATCTCCGGCGAGTTGCAGCGTCTCGCTAGCTTGCCATCTCCAGATATTGCGACGAAGAAGGAGAGTGTCGGAGAGATTGGAGCAAAGGAGTCTGAACCGGAGTTGGAGCCTTGTCTAGGTTTTCTACAGAGGGAAAACTTTTCGACTGAGATAATCGAGAATATCTCGCCGGAGGATCTCCAGCCGACGGTGAAACTCTGCGTCGATGGGCTCCAGTCATCTTCTGCGGCCGTGAAGCGATCAGCGGCGGCGAAGCTGCGGCTCCTGGCCAAGAATCGGGCTGATAACCGCGTCCTGATTGGGGAATCTGGAGCGATTCCGGCGTTGATTCCACTGCTTCGTTGCAACGACCCATGGACACAAGAGCACGCGGTCACAGCTCTCTTGAACCTCTCTCTGTACGAACAGAACAAAACCCTAATCACAAATGCTGGGGCCATCAAATCTCTAGTATGGGTCCTGAAAACGGGTACGGAGACATCGAAGCAGAACGCAGCGTACGCGTTACTCAGCCTGGCGCTCGTGGAGGAGAACAAGGGATCAATCGGCGCATGCGGCGCAATTCCGCCGCTGGTATCGTTACTGATGAACGGAAGTTGCAGGGGGAAGAAGGACGCTCTGACGACGC